GATGGGCTTGAACGGTGAAGAGCTGTGCACAGCAAAGACCCGGAAAGACCATCTAACCCTAAACCCTAAACCCTAAACCCTAAACCCTAAAACCCTAAACCCTAAACCACGGTTAGGGAGTCTCACCCACCACCCCCCGGCCCCCCGGCCCCTGCCTTGTTCCTTTGTCTCCTCCCCCTCCCCGGTCCTCGTTCGCTCCGCCAGCGGCGCCCAGCAGTTCGTTCGGTTTAGGGTTTAGGGTTTAGGGTTTAGGGTTTAGGGGCCGAGGCGGACGAAGCGCTTAAAATTATACTAAGGAGCCCCTAACTAGTATAGGTATTCTTTAAGGCCCCTATATTCTGGGTTTAGGAATTCGGGGTCGTTCAGAGGCTGCAGGGTTCTCAAACATATAAGTATAGATACCCTCCATTGTAGGTGCTTTTCGTGGCTTATGTACAGGATCCTATACGGTAATCCCAAAACGAACTACGATGGAGCCTATGGGTAACGATATATGTCACAAGGTTGATATCTTCTGAAAAAGGGCACATGCCCAAGAGACAGCAATAATAAGAGCATGAGACAGAAGAACTTGAGCCGTAAAGCACTCTGGAACCCCGTTCAATAGACGCTTAAACCCGCTGTTGTTGATGTCGTGCCAGGACCAAACCCTGAACTATTAACCTCATCAACCCTGAAACGGTACGAAACCCTATAAGGAACACTTGAAACAGGCCCTACACCGTGGACCCTAAACCTTTGGACCCTGCAACATAACACCTAAACCCTAACCCTAAACCCTTAAAACCTATACCCTAAACCTTTCAAACCTAAACCCTAAACCCTTCAAACCCTAAACCCCAAACCCTGAAACCCTTAACCCTAATCCCCTAAACCCTAAATGGCAAAACCCTGGGCCTCGAACTCCGGAAGGAGTCTCGGCAGCAGGCCGGAGCCCAAAGAGCGCGGCACAGAGCTCGTGGAGCTGTGGGAGCTCCGGTTGCTCTGGCCTTGAAAGAAGCCAGGGTTTAGGGTTTTAGGGGGTTTAGGGTTTAGGGTGTAGGGGTTTAGGGGTTCAAGCGTTTAGGGTGTAGGGATTTAGGGGTTAAAGGGTGTAGGGGTTTATGGTTTTGGGTTTGGGGGTTTAGGGCTTTAGGGGTTTTAAAGGGTCCAAAGTACCGATATAGCAGAATGTAGGTTTTCTATATCAGGAATAGCTATGTTGATTTGGGAAAGTATCCCTCCCATAACGGTTACCGATGACTTTTTGGTTAAGATGCACCTAAGATGCTTAGTAATCGAGGCTGTTGCCGTCTTGGATAAAACCTATAAGACCCCTGGGTTTAGGTTGTTCGTTTCGGCTTTAAGGGCTCGGGCCTCAAAAATCTACGAAATATTGACCTGAGCAAGCAGGAAAGTGTTTAGGGTTTAGGGAAAGTGTGGCTTCTGTACACGAATTAGTGTTTTGAGGACTAGTAGGGAACATCCTGGGCTTGTTGACAGTGATCTGTTCGGGGACTCTAAGGGAGTACGTTTGCTGCTTCTTCCGACCCCTATACCAAGCCGTAAAGTCCCTCCCCTGACACTGCTCATTGCTGACCAGGAGATGGGTTATAATTAAAGTAACTGTACTTATGTTTACTTATAACTTATAACCCCAATTAAGGGACTTATAACCCTACTTACTACCCTAAACCCTAAACCCTAAACCCACTTACTAAGTCCCATGATCCTCGAGAAGTAGGCCAAGCGACAAGGCGGCATTGGCAGGACATCCTCGACGGAATTCCGAATTTCGGGTTTAGGGTTTAGGGTTCAGGGTCTAGGATGTTAGCAGGGCGTAGGTTTTAGAGTTGCCGGTTTGCGCAGTAATACGATATGCAGGACAGCAGTGATTGAGTCAGGGAAACAAGCATACCGATTTAGCACTCTCGGACCTACCATACTATACACGAGCAACCCAGGCCCCAGGGAGAGTCTAGAAACTAGATCCCTGAATTCCGGACCCTGTACTACTTCCATCTACGTGTACTACTGCGCTTCTGAAAGGTCCTTTACTAACAGGAACACCCTTAAGGGATCTACGTTTTGGATCCTCTGTGCTGCTGCAAGACCGACCCTGAACAGCCCTGATTACATGGTAATATGGAGCATGAACGATTAGCAACACTACTCCTTTAGGCTTCTCCTTATAACTTTATAGCGTAGTACGCCTCACACCTTGTTCTGATTACTAGGGACATTAAAACCCTATATAACACCCTTGTTGAACTAAAGGAACAGTACCGGACCTCAATACTTCGCACAAAAAATCTCAGCCACCCCCCCCCCTCCAAAAAAAAAAAACAAAACTAACCCCTTAGCCAGAATTAAGTCCTCCTCCGTGGGCATCTCCAGTGCCGACCCAGTGCCACAGTGCTCAAGGGGGTCCGTGGCCGACAGCGCCTGGTGGGAAGCGATGAAAAGTCGAGACAAAGCTTCGCTGCTTCAATATTTCAATAGTCGTAGTCATATGGATAGTTCTCTAAACTAGGGTCCCTTTTGGGGTCCCTTTTTTTGCTGGTGCCGTACTATACTGGGGACCCAAAAAGGGCCCTAATTCAGAGAACTAGTATAGTCGTACTTGCGACTCAAAGTTCTTAGGCAGCTGTGCGCCATGCCTGCCGCGCATTCATGCGTAACACTTGTGTGCATGCATGTGCACTTCCATGCCATGTGCCTGCATGTGGCTCGGTACCTGCACATGACTGCACACGGGTGCAGGCCTGCATGCCCGCATCTTTGCCATCATGCGTGCAGGCTGTGCATGGGTGTTTTTCTTGCAAAGAGACATACATAACTACAATGCCCGTAACCACATGTCATCTTCAGTTGGGTCCAAGAAAAGTGTAGCGTGCAGTCGCATTATTAGTTACATATCACGCTTGTCTGAGCCTATTCTATTGATTGGGAAAGGTATCGGGCCAAACTCCAAACTCCTCGATTTACGTTTGGCGCTTCCCAGCCCGGGTTGAGGGTTACTGAGCGTTTCGAATGTCGACTGCTCAAACAGGTCACCATCCGGAATACTTCGCAAGCATGTACTTCAGTTGGGGTCAGGAAGCCGGTTGTCGTACAGACACCCATAATCCCTAAACCCTAAACCCTAAGCTTTACCCTAACCCCTAACCCCTACCCCTACGCCCCTAAACCCCTAAACCCAAAACGCCTGAACCCCAAACCCCTAAACCCCAAACCCCCCAACCCCAAACCCCGAAACCCTAAACCCCTATACCCTAAACCCTAAACACTAAACCCCCAAACCATAAACCCCTAAACCCTAACATGGGTACCTCAAGCCATGCCCAAGTGGAGCCCACCGGACATGTTGGGTGCTAGGAGGACGACCAAGAGAGCTACAGGAAACTACAGGTGAGGAGTTTAGGGTATATAGGGCTTCTACACGGCTTCTGTGAGGTATATAGACCTTCCAAAAAGGCTCCTATAACAGTAACTACCCACCTGAAAATGTCCTGGAGAGAGCTAGGACTTCAGGGCTAAGGGCCAAGATGGGTTAAGGGTCAGGGTTTAGGGCTTAGGGTTTAGGGTTTAGGGCTTAGGATTTAGGATTTAGGGTTAGGGTTTAGGGTTTAAGATTTAGGGTCTAGGGTTAGGGGTTTATAAGGTTTTGGGGTTGAAGCGTTTGGGCTCCATGGCCGCGAGGAACTATTCCAACAATCACTCGCGAGCGGGACCTCAACATGAAATGACACGCCCCGAATCCCCAAACCCCAAACCCTAAACCTATAAACTCTACACCCTACACCCTAAACCCTAAACCCTAAAACCTAAACCCTAAACCCTAAAACCTAAACCCCACACCCTAAACCCTAAAACCTAAACCCTACACCCTAAACCCTACCACGTTCTCTTGCCTCGGCCATGTCAGGGCTGCCATGCTCAGGGTCAGGACTCGCAGCCAGAGACTCCATCGTCTCCTCGGTAACGGAGGGTGGTTATTTGGGGTTAAGGTAGGGTTTAGGGTTTAGGGTTTAGGGTTTAGGGTTTAGGTCCTAGACCTACTCTACTTGGAGGTTCATGGGTAGTTGTAAAGTAAATGGGGTTATAAGTGCCCTAAGAAGGGTTATAACTATAGTTACCCTGCTTATAACCCACTTATAACCACCCATGAACCTCCAAGTAGGTCCTAGAGTTTAGGGGCTTCAGGGTTTAGGGTATTGAGGGGGTTTAGGGGTTTAGTTTTTAGGGTTTAGGGGTTTAGGGGCTTTGGGCTATTAGGGTTTAGGGTCTAAGGATTTGGGTTTAGGATCTATACAGTAAGGTTACTGGGGTATGAGCGCTATAAGGTTTATATAGGGTTTAAGGGACAGTAACTCACTATATAGAGGGTCCATAAATACGCCCATTATGGGATTAGGTCCCAAAAGACCATCTCTATATTGTTTTTGGGGAAGTGGTTCCAGAACAGCAGCATATGTGGACCCTGTTGGCTACTAGTCTTGCTATACCCCGACGTCCTTAAGAAACAAACGTAAACCCCGCAAACTCTAGGTAAGCCCCCCCCCCCCCAACCGCAATGATGCAAGCGACACGAAGCCTTACATGACAAAGCTTTTTAGTCTCAAGCCCGAGCCCTGGAATGAAACCAAAACTTGCAGTCCAAAACCTTAGCCTTAGCCTTAGCCTAAGGGTCCAGATGCCCAAATAGCATGGTTTTAAGTTCCGCTTTTGGCACCTAACCCTCTTCTATTTGGGTGCTTGCCACAAATATAAGCTCGGATAGAGTGGCTTTCTGGGGTCCAGTCTACTATACTATAAAAGAGCTTCTGTCGAGCTATTACAACCCCTATATTACTAGATTACTCGAAGCTTCCCCTAAACCTTAGACCCTAAACCGTTAAGAGCACCGCATTTTTAGGTTAGTTGTAGGTGCAAATTCCAGGTATATAGCTATCGACCGTAACCGTATTTGCGCCAAGTCCCCTGCCCTCACAAAAAATCGCTGGGGAAACTGATACCAGAAATATATATATATATATATACAGCGAGGCCAAGCAGCAGGCATACAACATATTTCGAACCCTCTATACGGACAACTTGAGCTGTCTAGGGTTTAGGGTCTAGGGGTTGAGGGGTGTAGGGTCGAGGGGTTTAGGGGTTTAGGAGTTTCAGGGTTTAGGGGTGTAGGGTTTCAGGGTTTAGGGGTTTAGGGCGGATATGAGGGACTTTTGGGGAGGTGAGGGCTGCACGGGTTCTGGGTTTCGGCAAGAAAACTACGGCTGATGATCTAAATCCTGCATTAGCCATAGTAAGAAATGTGCCATAATTCCCAGAGCTTAGGGTCCTTACAGGTAATGCAGGACTCATATCATCAACATTAGTTCCTTCCGCCGGAAAACCTTAATCGACCCGTTACCGCTCTTGAACAAAAAACTCTAGCACACTCATAAGATCACTCAGCAAAGCCTCCAATACCCTGACTGACAAAGGACCACGAAAACCCTAAACCACTAGAGCCCTCAAGCCTAAACACAACCTAGACCCAAAATTTACCAGGTCTCGGCATCTTCCGGACCCTCCTCAAAGGGCGTCGGGGAGGGCCGCAGGTTTCGTCGGAGCTCCTAGAGACGATTTTGCTTTAAGGGTTAGGGTTTTTGGCATTTGTCAGCTGTTTAGAGTTTTGATGGTTTTGGGGTGTTGTGTTTTGTTGGCGGTTTTCTTTCTGAAGGTATGCTTTTTAAAAAGCTTGAGCTGTCTTTTTGTTTCCGTTTGGAGAGGTTCGGGCTTAACTTTTGCAAGGATTTGGGTGGTTCTCTAAAATAGGATCCCGTTTAGGGTGCTCTTTGTGAGGGTGCCGTGCTATTTTGGGGACCCAAAAAATGCCCTATAAGGGTGAGGGCTGAATAGTTTAACAATCAGAGTTCAGGGTTCAAGGTGAGGGAGTTTCGGGATTAGCGTTTAGGGAATGGAACCTTTTCATAAGGGCTCACACATAGAGCCAAGCTTCTCACAAGGTTGCTCAGGCTTTTGTTTTATAAGAGCTGTAGAATGGTTTAGTGGATTCTTCACGGGGCTCTTGTCCTGGGATGATACGGGGCTTGCGTGGGTCTTATAAGGTCACAGGAACCTGATGTACACATTACCATACGTCCCGATTATGCCACCTGAGACTAAAATCGGTAGTTCTCTAAATCAGGGTCCCGTTTTCAGTCACCAAACCAGTACGGCACCCCTAGAAAAAGGACCTGAAAGGGACCCTAATTTACAGAACCCTTATAGTAGACCCTTCTAGAAACCCTAAAGAACCTAGCTTGTCCCAGACCTGCATCATCATTGCAAAGGGCCCATGCATCTGCAACGAGAAGGCTTCAAGCTAGTCAGCACATGGCCGAAACCCCCCAAGCTTCAGCCATAATCGTTAACCCTCTTCCTTCAAACCCGCCGCGCCTTCACGCCTTGCCCTTTCATGTGAATGTCCATCGTATTTGCCTCCGCCCCTTCCATGTGAATGTCCATCGTATTTGCCTCCAGGTATGCAGCAATTGCCTATACTTCGGGTTCTCAACGTCTATGAAAGCAATACCAATGATGGAATCGAACGTCTATAAAACATACAAATTACGCGGGAATCGAAAGTCCATGGCGTGTTCGGAGCCGGAGAGATATTATAAAGCCTTTACACAACTCCTATCAGATCCAATTGAATCCTCATACAACCCTACAGAACCATATCAACTCCTATGAATACCTGACACTCATTATCCTACAAGACCTAAATGGAAGACTAGCAAATGCTTATCATACCCGATGAAACCGCTTAAACACCTCCTAACCCTAAACCCTAAACCCTAAACCCTAAACCCTAGACCCTAGACTCTAAACCCTAAACCCTACACCCTAGACTCTAAACCCTAA